CTCATGACAACTACTCTGGCAGACGACTTCGGACTAGGTGCGTTGTACATAGTCGCCCTGACAACAAGACCAAGTTGCGACAACGAGGTCAACCCACTTCTATAAACTGACTTTTTTCATCATTGAGTAGGTTTTTGATAGCACCAGTAAATCAGGTCGATGAGATGACGAAAAAAGTAAAATCGTTGATTTTGCTTATCTACAATCCCAATAGAGAATGTGATATGGAAAATGCAATTCACATCTGCCCCCTTACCCAAAGGCACTCGTGGCAATGTGGCGTACTGGTTAGAGTGTAGAGATTACACGTTGCCCTGTCAAGGTTCGAGTCCCGCTTGGGGTGGCGAGACTGAATCCCACTTTGCCTGGACGAGAACACCCTGTCGGAGAGCAAGGCTATGTGAAATTCAGTGAAAACGTCAGCCCTACTCATGTGATTGTGGGAAAATTCTACTGTCAGTCCCTCATATAAAGTGAATTGATGCTTTCTTTTTCGCATTTAAGCATTGTTTCGAGACTCCCAGTAAATCAGTAGTATGCGATGTGATGAAGGACTGGTAGAAGACATTTGCCACAATATCTCATGTTAAATTCATGCTGTTTTTTGAAGTAGTCTGTCCAGTCAGGCCCGAGAAGTGGCTGAATCTGTGCTCTGATTGTGGCGACAGCCATGATCCTTCACCTTGCAGTGGCGGGCCGGTGATCCCGTGTCGATGATCTTCGCCTGTGCTCACTGAGATCGCCATACGACAAATCGTCCTCCGGTTGCACACGCATCGCTGGCTATTGCGAATCATCTTTGCCTTCAATGCGGCTCATGTCAAAGGGATGACGAGCACTTCAAGTGGACCGGCCAAGAACGTATGTCTAGTTTTTTGAAATCACACTACTCCTTCTCCACACATACACACACACACACACACACACACACACAAACACTCAAACAGTCACACAGACACACACTAGTGGGAAGAGAAGCAACAGGTCAGACCCTCTGAAATGTCTGGTGAGGCAGCATGAGGAGGACATTGAAAGGATTCAGATTGTGCAAGAACAGAGAACTGGTCGGGATGCCATGGCGACCTCAATAGGCGCCTTTCGTCCGAAGTCGTCTACCTTCTTCGAAGACATGCTGATTCCAGATGTCGTACTGTTGAATTGATGTATTCTTTGACGCTTCATCGAAATCGGGGCACGACAACGACGGCAGAAGACCTCGGACGAGTCGCTTTCAATTAGGTCTTATGGTATTATTGTCTGCGATTAAACGAGCAAACTGGCCAGCCTTGGTCGTTTAAGGTGAGTTGAGTACCAATAAGTGAGCTTTTCCATAAATATTAGGACGTCAATGAGGTTTTGCTGTGACAAATTGCGTTTCGACCTAGTACGGGTCTCACTAGCCCTCTCGACGGGACTCGAACCCGGGTCGTGTGCGTCACCACTTAGAAACACACTCACAATCAAACATACGTATATGCATAAATACACCCGCACACACACCATATAATTTTTTTCCAGATATAATTGTCTATAAAGCAAACTGGCATTGGTCATTGAAATTGACGATGCTACACATTTTCAGCAGGACTTGGTTTCACTGTATGTCTTACTTTTAGTCAAATACCGATCGCGCTTGAATCTGGTGACACGAAAAATAGGCGTCCGTTATAAAATCTGTGATTCGAAAAACATAGCGACCATGTGCTAAGGCCACCAAACGCAAATGAGGCTTAGAGAAACTCGGTTGAGCAAGACCTTTTTAGATTTCTGTTGGGAATGTTCATTTTCAACGAGTCTCTTGTTCACCTCCAATCCAAGCCAAAAGCTCGACTAAAGAGCATTCTGAGAAAAGTTCGGTTTCGAGGAATGTCTTGTTTCATAATTGTTGAGCTTACTTCTATTTCATTGACTCGTTTGCTTGAATTTTGTTGTGACGATGTTACCTCGCTCTGATGATGTGGGTCATATGACGTAAGAAAACTTAGCACCTTTTCACTGGAATTGAATGTTCCAGTAAAGCCAATCGACAGTTGGTCAAGAGGAATGCGCCGTTGTCTTTTGGTAGAATCAACTTTCGAATCTCTTCACCCAACACTTCCACTCGAAATGGAAGTAAGCTCAACAATAAAGGGCATTCTGCCTGCAGACAGGGGACACGGCTCCTGCTCGTCTCCAGACAGACCGGCTGAAGATGGGCAATGGGAACCGGAAGCGTCTGTTCACGCGCCCCTCGAAGAGACAGACGAAGCTTGAGCACAGATTTGTTAGCGTCGGACGACGGTGTGATGAAGACTGCCAGCCGAGACGGGACTTTTATGCAAAATGGAGGGTCGAATGGTGCCAGTTGGCCCATTGCATGCCACAACCTGGGCTTAGAGAAACGGGCAGTTTCGGTGGCAGTACAGAACTCACAACCAGTTTAGCGATGACTTCCGTTTGTGTGCAAGTAGGCCTGTTGAAGATCTCACCGAAGACGATCTATGAATCACTTCCTCAGGCAGACTTATGTGTGAGTGATATTGTGTGTGTGTGTGTGTTTGTGAGCCGGTACGTATGAATCGCGTCACTTGACAAACTTCATCAGAACTGCACTGCGTTGGTATAAGAAGTTTAGGCAAATAGCGAATCAGGGAAACAAACTAGTTCATTCCTACATGCAATAAAGTCACCAAGAAAAATGAACACGGGATGTGTATGATAGTTTGGCCAATTTCACCTATGCGCCTGTTTGTTTGTGTGTAAATTTAGAATTGTGCGTGTCTGCCTGCGAAAATGAAACCATCAAAGATGGTTGAGAATTGAGCTTACTTCCATTTCGAGTGAAAGTGTTTAGTGAAGAGATTCGAAGCTCGGTTACACCAGAAGACGACGTCATGTTTCATGCATAAGCGAACACAAGCAGACACATACACATACAGAGACAGACACATTCACATGCATCGAAGCTGACATATGACCGTGACTAACCAAATCACTTTATACTTGATCAAAGAGGTCAGATGTAGAGTGGATATACCAATTTTTAGGGATTTGCCGGTGAGTTTTCTTGACTCATTAGCTTCAATTTTGTTGTGACAATGATACCTTGCGACGGAAGAAAGCTTAGCACCTTTTCACCGAAATCGAAGGAGATTGCCTCGGAAACAGCGCCAGCACGAATCTTCCAGTAAAGCCAATCGACAGCTGGTCAAGAGGAATCCGTCGCTGGTCGTCTTCTGGTGGAACTAACCTTCGAATCTGTTCACCCAACACTTCCACTCGAAATGGAAGTAAGCTGAACAATTATGAAACAAGAGATTCCTCTAAACCCAACTTTTCTTCGCATGGTTGAGAGTAACGTTTCTAACCTCTGGCCTCGGCAACAAAGTTGAATAATGACCTTTCAGTTATTAACGTTGGTTGCGTCACACTCAACGGTCATTTGGTTGAATTCGTGGGCCTTTCGAGTAAGTATATATATATATATATATATGTATGTGTGTGTATGTGTGCGTGTGTGTGAATGGTACAACAAGAGGAACCGAACCAAGAGCACCAACCAAACGATTGAAACGCAACTTTTAATTCATGGCTCAGCCAACACTCAAGCTCAAACAGTCGCCATTCAACTTGCCAGTCCCGTTGCGGATTGCCTTCGGCGTATTCGCGAATCTGGTTGCCCAAATCCGATGGATGAGCCCTCTTGTTCCGAGCCCGGCAACCGCAGACGCGCTATGCTCAGCCAATCCGGCATCCAGTCGCAGACACATGCATACATACATATGTGCATACATACATGTACACATTACGACAATTCACAGAAGCCAATGGCGCCTAAAACGCTCGCAAGGATCTCCGAGCGTCAGCGAGCCGATGAATACCTTTTTGGGCAAAGCGATGAACCGATGCATCCCTCGAAAAAAGGTGACGAAATGGGCTTATTTGGTGCGTCGCCTAGCAACAAGACTTAAAGGACCAACGGGAATAAGCCTATCTTCAAGGCATCGAGGGGGCTCTGTCAAAAGTCAGAGTGCCTCAAGTGAAATTGGTTGATGGCGAGGACCCTGTCGATGTCATCGTCGAAGCCCTCTCGACCAAGTCTGTCTGGATGTGCCGGTGGTGCAGGCAACTGTCGTTCTGGAGCCACGTTGGTGAGGATGAGATTGAGCACCGGCGTCGAATGGTATCGAATGCGCGTCCGTCCAGACGAATTGAAACGAGGCAACCGGTGAAACCATCTGCAGCAGGCCTTGTCTGATTGGCCGAGCGCGATCGCTACTGCTCGCCCATTGTCTCTTCCTTGGTCTGCCCGACTCACCGACAAGCCGACAACCCAATGAGACCAATTCACGAATTGCTTCCAACCAACTTATCCTTCGAACTGGAAGGTGAAGTCGAAACAAAGCATGTCGCAGACCGAAAGTAAATCTGATTCAAATGATGTAAGCGCTGTAAGTGTGTATGTGTGAAAGTGAGCTTACGAAACCATCAGTCGTAACTCGTCTGCTTGATTCGGTGTTAACTGGAAGCATACGCAAGAGTGCGTTGAAGCTCCAAGGAGCTACATTAATCGGCATGACGGACGAAAGATGGTGAGTTGGTTCTCACGCGAAACGCGAGCGGATATTTAGTGGATTGCGTTAAGCTGAGCATCGTATTAAATACGAAGAAAAGTTGGATTTCGAGCAATCTCTTGTTTCGAGTGGAAGTGTTGGGTCAACAGATTCGAAGATCAGTTCCACCAGAAGACGACCAGCGACGGATTCCTCTTGACCAGCTGTAGATTAGCCTTACTGGAACATTAATGCTGACGCTGTTTCCGGTGAAAAGATGCTAAGCTTTCGTGTGTCATATGACACACATCATTAGAGCGAGGTAACATCGTCGCAACCAAATTCAAGCTAATGAGTCAGGAAAACTCACCGGCGAATCTCTAAAAAGTAGTATATATGCTCTACATCTGACCTCTTTGATCAAGTATAAAGTGATTTGATTTTTTAAGGTCATATGTCAACTTCGATGCATGTGAG